TCGCTGTACTAAAAAAAATTGACAAGAATTAGTTGCCAGTCTGATTTTATAAATTTATTGGAAGAAGAAAAATGGAATAAGCGGTTAAAACCATCTTCTAATAATTTTCAAGGAACTGAAATCAAAAAAATTCTTGATAGAATGGGCCCAAAAAAAATACATTAACTGGAAGTACCCAGGACGACTCCGTCGAAAAAAAATTACCAGTAAAAATGTCTCTCGAGGCAATGTGTAAGAATTTTATTCAGAATTTAACATTAAGTCATTCCGAAATACAGAACCTCACAGTTGTTACTGTAAATCAGTGTCAATCATCAATCTGGAAAGAAGAGAGACGAAAACGTTTAACGGCCTCAAATTTTGGTTCAGTGTACAGCGCCAGAATTCCTGAGTCTCTCTGTAAGAAAGTAAAGAATATATTGTATTATGACAAACCTCTAACCAAAACAATGGATTATGGCCGTAAACACAAATTTCACGCATTAAAAATCTATAGTCGTCAACATTCCCATAGAAAAGTGTATCGTACGGGTTTGTGTGTTCACCAAGAATACCCCTATCTAGGAGCTTCACCCGATGCTACAGTTGACGAAGATGGTTTGGTTGAGGTCAAATGTCCATACACAATTCGGAACATGAATCCCACAGAAGCCATTTTTAAGGAAAAACTGAAATATTTCAATAACAATGGATGTTTGAAGAAAAGTCACTACTAAGTCAGTACTATTTCCAAATTCAGGGTAATTTGATCTTGTTATTTTCAGTCAAAATGCAATATTCATACAAAGAATTGCATTCACTAAACAATGTTGGAAAAACATCTTACCAAAACTGCAGGATTTTTATTTCAACTTTCTCTTACCTGAAATAGTAGATTCTGTCTACCCAGGTGAAATCAGAAGGCGGGAGTGGTCGAAATATGGGACTGAAAACAAACAGTATCTCGAAAAATCATCAAATTTTTCGAACAAAACTGATATTTCATCCGTGAAGCTACTTTCTAATGGATTAGTTGCAGACATTGACTACTACAGACCCAGTTCTATATT